TTATCGCGCGATAAGTTGTTCTATCGCGCGATAAGTTGTTCTATCGCGCGATAAGTAGTTCTATCGCGCGATAAGTTGTTCTATCGCGCGATAAGTTGTTCTATCGCGCGATAAGTTGTTCTATCGCGCGATAAGTTGTTCTATCGCGTGATAAGTTGTTCTATCGCGCGATAAGTTGTTTTATCGCGCGATAAGTTGTTTTATCTCGCGATAAGTTGTTCTATCGGGCGATAAGTTGTTCTATCGCGCGATAAGTTGTTCTATCGCGCGATAAGTTGTTCTATCGCGCGATAAGTTGTTCTATCGCGGGATAGAACACTCTATCGCGCAATAAGTTGTTCTATCGCGCGATAATGTTGATTGCAAATTTTTTGAATGAATGGACTTAGCAAAACTTATTGCGCGATAAAGTCATGAAAATTTTTGTAGGTGGATGGCCCTTGAGAGCCACCGTACAATCACTTACCTGGAACTCGTGAACTCCAGTTCACTTAAATCGACCGCGAGCACGCTAAGTGTTTAAAGCGCACGAATTAAATAGAATATAATTCACTGAAGTGTTTTATTTTCCCGGCTTTTTTCCACTGTTGGTCACCAAACCCAAGTTTCTCTGAAAAGTGTTAATCAAAGGAGCAGTGCTCTTGTATACTTCTCTTCTGCTCGTGACCATTTGCAATTGCATGTATTTTCTGTGGTCAATTTTTTTCCCAAGTTCAAATTTTATATTCCTATTGTCTTTGGGTATGGTAATGTATAATAATGACTTTGAAACAAACGAAATTAAAATTGGAAGCAAGGATAAAATTGAACCACAACATACACACAAAACAAAACCAAACGGGTATCATGAGTCATGCAGAATATCAAAAGTAATTATTTTTTAAATTTAATTCAATTATTTTTGGTAGATCCATCCACTGGAATAACCACTGAAGAATTAGAGCATCAAAATGATAAGACTGATAAGTTTGGACATCTTGACAGTGGGAATGACAGTGTAATAGCTGCTACTGGAACTGAAGGCCAGAAGTTAAAGTATACAATTGTAAAGGGCACTTTTGAAGCAGTTGAACTTGGTGCAAAAACAGGTGCTTCTCTATCTACATTTACAGACCTGCTATGCTATGCGCACCGAATGTACTGCAGAGGGAAAGATATTGATGAAGATGATCACAAAATGAAATGTTCATGGCCTAAGGACTGGGGAGGAGCAAAAAAGTATCTCAAGGATATAGGCTATGAAGATGCTCATGAATATTTCATTTGCTTGAGTGCGAGTCATAAGCATCACTGGGACATCATGCAGTCTGCAACTGAAACGTGTCGCCTCTGTGGAGAAGTAGGAATCATTAAGTACTGCTATCTTGGATTGCATGGAAAAGTTAAGCTATGGACAGCAGACCCAGACATGTGCCTAAAAATGACAGCTCATTGGTTAGAAAAAGAACACTGGATTAATAGAAATGGCTGGGAAATTAAGAAGGAGGTCTGGGATGGAACTAGATTTGCTGAACTGGTATGGTTCTGGGATCCAGGTAGTAGTTGGTGTTTGCCCACAATATGTAAAAGAGATGGTTGCAAGAATGTTTTGAGTGGTGCTGATGTATTGCAAGCCCCTACTCTGCCTGATGGACATCAAGAACTGTATTGTGAGAATTGCTGTACCAAATTTCTTCATCGACCTGTGTTTGTGAATGGTGACCCAAGAAACATCGCCTACATAGGTAAGGTAGTTTATGATAAAATGCTCAATGTGTAAAAAATAATAATTATAATAAAATGAATGTACATTTAGCTGTCTTACACACTTATAAAATTATGATCTTTGTCATGTTTATTTATTATCTGTTTTGGTCAAGACAACGATACTATTTTTAATTACCACCTCCATTGTAATTTAAGTGGTGCTATTTTCATTATGTTGGTTTAGGCTTTTACCCAATTTTTCTCTTTCAAGTTAATGAAAACAATAGATTTTTTTATTGTGTATAATTTTAAGGACACTGGGATGGCTTTCAGCCCTTTGGAAAGAAATCACGCAGCACTGGTAAGGCAATTATTGTATTGCATGTACTATTCAAATCTTACCCAGTACACTCCCCCCATTGTTGATGATACAGCTTGAATGAAAAGTGTGACATACGCTGCAGACACACAGATGTATATATGGTTTATAGAATTAAGATAATTTGTATTAAAATAATTATTTTCCAAGTACTCAAGACCCTAGATATAGACGTCAGATAACTTGTGAGTTTTTTCAATTACCTTACACTCCGGGGCAGATCCAGGCATTTCTGAAAGGGTGCCCTTGGACAGAACATTAAAGTGCAATTCCCTGTAATTTTTGCATAGCTTTGTTACTAGACTGCTTGGTTCCACTAAGTGCTGCCAACTGACATCTTATGTAATTTTGTTGCAGTTTTAAGGTTTCTTCTGATTTAAATTTTTTTTTTATAACCATTCTCAAACTTATTAATAATTCATCAAGCTGAAACAAAGCAAATCACTACCGTGAAAGATGTTTAGAAATGTGATCTTAATTATCATTAATTTTGTGAACTTTTGCTTCGAATTTCTCCAAGAATTATCAATGGTTTGAGAAGCTATATCAAACACTCAAAACAGTATTTCCTCCTATTTCCAAACACCCTGAAGTTGGTTAAAAAAAAAACTTAGCTGCGCCTCGTTTTTCCAACCTACTTCTCCGAAAACAGAAAACAGTCTTCCTCATGTTTGATCTATTACTTGAAATACATATATCTTATCAACCAAGCGCGAGGGCCGTACTGGGAGAATATCGGCCCGAGGTCTTGACAGTACGGACCGAGTGCAGCGAGGTCCTTAGAAAAAAGACCGAGGGCCGATATTCTTCCAGTACGGTCCAGAGCAAGCTTGATTAATAAGAGATTTATTATACGACTGAAGTTCAAAGGGACACAAGTGCGGTATCATTCGGGACCATTCGGGACAGTGCCCGGTCCAATACTGAGAGAATATTGACCGGCAATAGAGCATTTTGATTGGTTGATTTTAGTTATTGGCCCTCTGACTGCCCGAGTCGTGTAATAAATGTATTTATAATCTGAGCTAAAGGAAAGTGCCAATTAATCTGGTTTGTAAAACTTTCAAACCAAAGAGAATTTGAACCACAGCATTTACTTGTTTAAGGATTAGGTGCAATAGATGTGTCGGTGGCAACAATTTCAAAGGAATAAAGGCTGATAGTGTCTAAAGAAACTGTTTGGGGCTGCGTCGGTGAGGGTAACGAAATTGTTTGAATATATCAACAAAGTTGAAATGGCAAATTGGCCACCGTTACGATTATAAAAGTTGACGTTTCGAGCGTTAGCCCTTAGTCGGAACGACGACACAATGTCACAATGACACAATGTCAAAGGAAGACCGCTTACAGACAGAGGAAGTTTACACAGTAGGATTTGTGCCATCTTATGACCTTCCTGACGCACAGCCAAACAGTATTGATCCTTTTCTTGAGCCCCTAGTCAGTGATATTGAAACTGGATTCAGTATTGAAGGTACGCTTTCTCTTTTGATAGTTATTTATGTGTGAACAGTAGGCTCTTGTCACCTTCTGAAGGAGTTAAGAGAAGACACCTTTAAAGGGGGATTTGTTTTTGATAGGTGAATTAAATGACAGAAGCTTGGCTACTCTGTTAGGAATATTATGCTGACAAAACAAAAAAGTTTAAGAAAATTTCAGACAGTACAAGCTGGATAATGATTTGGCACTTTAGGTGGACCAAGTTGTTGAGTGACATGATTGTTTCACAGTAAAACTAACTCCAACCTAAAACTTCTAACTAAAATGTTTTTTTTTCTAGGATACGAAGGGAATTATGCAGGATCACTTCCAGATTTTCCACCGGCCAACATCATAATTCGGCACATTATACTGCTTTGGACGGGAGACCATCCTGCACAGTGCGAAGTTTGTAAGACAAAGGGTGCTGTCCAGAGGCAGGAAAGGATATCGAAGGTGTCATATATGCGGTAGGTGTTGAAAGTTTAAACTAACTCCAGTTATCTGCAGTTAGCGCACATCTTTATTTGCAAGACATGTGTGAAGAGGTAATAAACTCAACTGAACTGAACTGAACTGTGATACCCATCCTTGTCAGTCTACATAATATGTTAATAAAAGTATTGCAAGCACGTCTGTTAACTAGGTGTAATGGTTAATGCATGTTTACTGTAGGTACATGGCTGGGTGAACATAATCACAACTACTACTTAAACTTTAGGAAGCGATACAGATACCCTTACCCAAAAAGGTTGCTTGAGGAAGAATTGCCGGTGATGAAGTTATTAGAAGAAGAAGAAAGACCCCCCTATTTCCAAAAAATAAGCAAGGAAAATGGTCTGCTGGGGTTATCAATTCTTCACAGGCTTTATGGCCTTTATTTGATGTTCTCAGGGACACAGTCTTTGATGCTATGCACCTGTTGCCTCTCAATGTAAGCAAGAATAACATTAAGCGATGGATTTCTAATGGCGCTTTCAATAAAAAAGACTTTGACACGAACTTGGCAAAAATGACATGGACCAAAGGTACATGTAAAAACTTGAAACTTAATGAAAATGTTTGAAACTATGAAACAAACATTGGTTAACGGGAAATAGTGTGTATTTAACCTTCATTTCAAGTGAAGATAGTTTTTGACTTAATGCCAGAGATTTGATAATTGGTTATTTAGTTTTGCAGAACACAATAATAAAGTCACATTTTATTTTGCAGATTATCGTGCATCTCATTTACCTTTGGATACTGATTCAATGGGTTACTGGACATGTAAGCACATCTATAAGCTTTCTGTTATGTTACTCTGGCAATAAAAGGACTGCTTGCCATTAATTAACATAGTGCTTTTAGGAGTACTTGTATCTTTCAAAGGCTATGAACAGTCATGTAATTCTGGAACTTTAATACTTTTTCCGGTATAATAATATTTCTGTCTAGAATTTTGTACTCCCATAAATTTAGTTGCCAGATACAAGTCAGGTTTTACCAACTGACAAACTAAAACTAATTTTAGGACTGACACTTAGCAATAAGTGGTAATTACTAATAAATATTTTAAGGACCCTCGCACTTACACTTCAGTGGCTGTAATTATTTTCTCTTAAAGCGGAGGAGTACCAGAAACTGGCTTTTCCGACATCAGAATTTGTGTTAAATGGATTACTTCCTGAGAATGAATTGAAGCTGTGGGCACCTGTCCCAAGAATGGTAGAGTTTGTCTTCAACTCAGGGAGAAATGGCTGGACTGAGGATATGATTGAGAACTTTAGATGCCTTGCTTGGAGGTATTGCATTTCATGTGAAGAGCAGTATGGAGCTAACACATGTGTTATAAACCTACATAACTTGACACATTTACCTGAAGGCATTCTGAGATTTTCAGCACCAGACAATTTCTGGTGTTTTGGATTTGAAAGAGCTGTGAAGCGTTACGTGCAGCAAAGCAGTAACAGGAAGCGCATTGAAAAATCCTTTGCCCAGGGAGAAGAGATTTCATGAAATTTCAACTAGATCTTAAGCTAATCTCTTCTGAAAGGTGCAGATTTACGTGATAGTCAGCGGTAGCTATAACAGATCATGAGCAAATGTCGGTCTTATAGAATCCAGATTTTGAATGCGCGAGAACGCGCGTGGGAATTGCCAAACTCACGAAAGCTGTTGTAAGAAAACAAGTCCGGTGCCCCCTTTTTTTTATTGTTTCAACTTGAAAGTAACGTTGAAAGGAATCTTCAGAAACCAAAAATAGAATAGTTTACGGAAGGACATTTGCGATGCGTGAAAATTGCCTTTTTCTAGATTTTCTGAAATTCCGCTCCATATAATTTTTTAAAATCTTTGTGCATTTTCCATTTTAAGTGCCGAAAGCAATCACTAAGAAAAATCACGGGGTCACCGGGTTAGTTACAAATTATTTGAGCCATAAGCTAAGAAATGAGTCTGAATAATCCTTTGAAAGCGTTGCCATGGAAACTGCTAGTGACGAAATGACACCTATTTTTGGATAGCTAATGACTGTATGATTCAACCCTGTAAAAGTGTTCAACTGGCCTTGGTCAGGCTTTTGTTGTATTCTTTCAATGTTACAAACCATCAAAAAGATGAAAACGGGTACCAGCCACGTAAGAACGCCTCCCTTTTCAAAAGTTTACCTTGGATTTGATCAGTTTTCGCGTGTGTGACTTAAGCGAACCGATAAGGTGTCATTCAAGTCTTCCTGTTTCCTTGATTGAAATGTGATGTTCACGAAAGTCGCCTCGATGGATAAGATAGAGTTAATATGCATGGCTGTGGTATTTGTTTTTCGCTGAGTGCCGTAGTTTTTTTTAATAGTCCTCCAAAGTTGTCTCAAATTAAAGTCTTGAAAAGTGTCACGACAGGCCTTTGCTCGGGTGAAATTTAATTTCCGTAGAACTCTGAAAAACAACGAGATCCGATCAAACGGATTGTGGTTTCAGTAGAGGTACACATATGTCTTGAAACACACAAGCAATGAGCGTAGTCTGTGTCTCAAGCAAAATCGACCGGATCGCTCTTACAGAGACACTCTCTTAAGAATCCCCAAACGGGGGTCATTGATTGCATTCATGAAAGCGTGGTCAACATCTTGTTATCACCAGCTGCTTAGATAGAACACCAGAAAGTATCTTGTTGAGCCTTTCACTCGTTCAGATTGACCCATGTTTTGAAAACTGTGGCATAATGAGAAAAAAGCTTATAGAATAGTTATTATAAAGACTCCAAAAACGACCGCTTCACTTACCTCCTTCACCATCCACGCGTGGGTTTAACAACGCCCAACGTCGAAAAAACAACACGTATTCATCGAATTTTTTTTCTTCTCGTCTCCGAATCCCATTGGTACCGACTATTCCCACTCGCTCTGTTTCTTCTTAAATGGGCCTAGTCGTAGTTCTTTCCGAATCCTCACCACTATAAATCGATTGGTTACACATTTTTTGGCTCCCATTTTCTTTTCCACCCGTGTCGACCATCACAAAATGTATACTTGAGTGTGGTCTTACCGGTATGACGTCGTAATTTACGGTATATGAAATATTTTTCGAAATTTTTTGCGCTCATTCGTAGGTGTCGTTGTGCTAAAGCACTAGACACCAAAAATAAAGCGAAAAACTAATGTAATTCCATACAACGTTTATTTTATGTCAAGACTTGTAGCCCTGTGTGTTTGTATAAGCTATCAGGTGATTTGTCTTTTGCCCCTTAAGGAGTTTCATGTGGCCTAAGTAAACATTTCGTGGAGGCGTTGTTGTAGCCCTGTCTGTTTGTATAAGCTATGATACATAATTTACCTATCAGGTGATTTGTCTTTTGCCCTTTAAGGAGTTTCATGTGGCCTAAGTAAACATTCCGTGGAGGCGTTGTTGTAGTCTCGATAGTACTACATCGTTGCCATGTCTATTTTTTACCTTCTTCAGACTCAAATCACCAATGCAGAACCTAATACTTGTTTCAGCGTAATCAAACAGGCCATTGTGGAAGCTCATTAATGCTTTTTAGCTAATCATCTTTGTCTTTTTCGTGAATAATGAGAAATAATGATTTGAATTGAAGTACCAGCTGCCCATATGCCTATACGATTAAAAGTCAAAATTTACTACAGCAACTGTAACTCAAAGGAAGGCATTTCAATCAACTTAGAAGTCACTTGCTTGTTATGGCATTATGCACAAAGAGATCAATGTGAAATAATCTTGAATATATGGATTGATTATTTGCAAAACACACCTACGCTGAACTATCATTAGCGGCACCGCAGAATATTTGTTATTGCACCTCTGCACATTACCCTAAAACTAGTAAAAAGTACCAAATGGATGGAGCAGTAAAATAAATCAATTAAAATTAAATATCTACATCAATATGAAACCTGGATTTTTCCTGGAAATCCTTAATTCAACTTAATCTGGTCAATGTTCTGTAATGATACACTTATTTGGCACTGATTAGAGCTTTTTCTCAACTAATTGAACGGGTGACTGGTTTTCTGTCTGGTCATCTGAAGGAACTGTGTCTTTTTCTGTCCACCTGTAGAAAATAATTGATACGAATAAATTACCATGACATTGACTTTAAAACACCAAGGCAGTGCATCTTTGCATGTTTTATCGAAAAGCTAAAATTTACATCGGGGAACAATTGCTGCGAATATTGAGGATCGTCCTCTACTCAAAGATTCAAAGAAAGGAAATTTGTCAATTTCCGGCAACTAACTTTAGAATTTTAAATCATCTAACTCCAGGGCAACGCACGAGGACAAGCGAACAACTACTCGAATGTAACTGTTCTTCAGAATAAGTGACGAAAAAAAACGGGAAATTCATTAACCGTGGCAGAATGTACCAAACAACTGCGTGTGATTGCGTGGACTCAAGAAGTCCTCAACTGTCTTTTTTGTTAAACTACGTGATCTGATAAAGCTTAACATAAGTGAAACATTCTTAGTTTCTTTACTTACCTGTGCTTCCGTTGGTCAAGCTCTCTTCGGAACTTCTGCAGGCTCTGTTTGTACTCAGTAAGTTTCTCAGACCATTCTTTTAGTGGATTTAATTTCTCAGTTGCAATTTTAGATAACTTGATCTCTTCCATTTTTATCTCTTCCGAAATAGTTTCGGAGATTTCATCTATTTCTCTTCGTGGTGATCCTTTGTCTCCGGCACATTTTTCTCTGAATGTAATTAGAACTTTCCTAATATACTCTTTGATTTTTCTTTTCTTGTCTGAACTCGCCCCAAACATACGTCTTACTACGGTCCCGGGACAAATTCCTCCAGCAAATTCCATAACTTTTGTGAAAGTCATTGTGGCTCTAAATCCAACTGCTGCACCAACTGCTGCACCAACTGCTGCACCAACTGCTTTTCCTAAGGCAGCTAATTCTGTTCCCTCCACCGCCACTGCAGTCGCTGTCGCAGTGGAATAAAAACCATGACGTAAGACATTTGAGCTACAAATTGTTACTGTTTTGGGCACTAACACCGTACATTCCACATAATCACAAAACATAAAAACTAATATTTTTCTCTTGTGGTTGCGCTCCTCATATGGAACCAGTTTTAATTGGCTAGAAATTTTTCTCATATGTGCAAGGTTTCCAGAAAGAGTTACAATTTGTTGTACCTCTCACTCGTTGTTCTTTTTTTTTTTTTTTTACTAGGGTCACCGTTATATTGGTACTGTGATTATCGTTGTCGTTTTCGTTGTCATTATGTTCATTAGTATCGCTCCATATTCGACCGCAGTAACAACTCTGCGGAAACAGACCACTACACCACGAAACAGAAACGCGGTTAAATCAAATTCAAAATGAACAAATCTATGGAAAGCCGAAAACTTAGAAAATCTTAACCGTGAAAATCATACGCGTAATAAATGCTCATGATTGGCTTTTTTTTAAACTAATAAATAACAATATTCTAGATTATGCTCTTCTCTTCCCTTTTTTTATCTTTTCCATTATAATTTTCAATTATCTGTTTGCTACCTTTCTCCTTGTTCAGTTATGTTTGCCCAGTGACTTGATCACTTACCAGCACCCACACCTACTGTTGGTACCAATGCTGTACTCGCTAAAGCAGTTCCACAAACGGCTACGGCCGCCCAGAATGTGTTGTTCGTTACGTAGGAATAAGGATCAAAATTTTCATTGTAGCCGTAATTTCCAGTGCGCGGAAGACGTCCAGTTGCATAGGATGACAATGACTTTCTTAAATGTTTGGAGCTGACACCATCTCTCCACTTCCTGTACTTTTCGTTTACTCTTTCACTTTCATCGTTGAGGAATTGATCAATTCCAAGACTCACGTTCTCAAGAAATGCAAAGAAAGCTTCGTCCTCCTCGGGTCCAGAGCTACAACCCTCAATGGTGTTGCAAATCTCCTTTATCAACTGATCAATCTTCCCATCGGAGATATAAGAGTTAATCAGAACATCGAGCCTCTGTACTTCTTCACGCAAAGTATGAAGTGAATTGCGTTCACTCGTCAATGTGCTGATTTTTTCTTGAATAGGACTCTGATGGTGCACGAAAAGGTGGCTTTTCGTTTTGTCGATCATGCCTCCAAAAGTTTCCAAGTACCTCGTGAATTTTGAAGCGAACTGTTCGGCTTCCTCTATGAAAGCAACACCTTTTTGCGCTTTGACGGTTTTTGCACTCTCTGCTAATTCTCTTTCGAACCTTAGAAAATCCTCCGTTCCTTCCCTTTCCGTGACCGTCTCCTACAAAGACAATTAAACGTAAACGTCTAAATCACCGTAAAAGAAAGGAAAAACAAAATGATTGGGATCATTTATCATGTGAAATACAGCAGCATCGAAGTGTTATCATATGTTGTGAATTATGCACTGTAATTACACCACCTGTATTGCCACCGGGAGTAAGTTAGTACGGGAGTAAGTGAGTAAGTCAGCCAGGAAGTAGGAGAGGGAGGTAGGGAGGGAGGGAGGAAGAGAGTGAGTAAAAGAAAACATATTGCACATCGTAATTCAACAAATATTTTTGCTCTTGCGTGATTGGTCAAAACGCATCACGCGACCGAATATCCCCCGACTAAAACTGGGGGAACATCCTAGGATATACTCTAGATGATGTTCTCCAATTTTCAAACCTTATGTCTAATACCGAAAATTTGTACTTAAATTTGATTAAGACCAGAAACATTGTGTGAATGTTACAGAAGAAGGAACATTTTTTTTTTCGCTCATAAAATCATATCAGAAAAGTGAACATCCCACATCGTAAACGGTGAGCTGTTTGTAAACATTTTCCCTCGTGTTGACCATCCTTTGAAGAATTATAAACACAGTAACATCCATTTGTCGCTAACGTATGCTCGTCTATTTGTCCTTGGGCATGATCTGTTCCTCGAAACTCACAGTTTTTCTTCAGCTTCACTCTCGGAAAACAGTTCGCATCTCGGAACAGATAATGTCCGCGTATGGAGATCCGTGCATATTTCCGCGCCAAATGGAGGCTATGTTAATTTAACCCTACCTGTACTCCTTTGTCTATGATATGCTTCCCGTCAACGAAATAAACCTTGCTTTTACGTTCCATCTTATCCACAAATTTCGTTTCGTAGTTATTCCGTACATTTTGCCGCCTCTTTTCGACTTTTTCTTCAAGGGCTATATCCCATTTGGTAAAGACTCCAAGAGTGAGCTGATTTTTCATCTGGTTTACCATACCTGTAATCTTAAGAACGAAATCAAAAATGGTAGCGGGCAATTTTTCAATGGTTTTTTTTTCTTTTTTTTATTGTATGCAAGTCAGTTTGATTTGGTTTTCTCTCCTGCTGTTTTCACATTTTTATATTTCTTTTAGTGTGTTTGGTTTGTTTCGGTTTTATTTTAAATTGAAAATACTAATGCAATTTGATTCAAAGGAGTTTGATTTGACACGTTTTGAGAGAAGCTGACAACCTACTAGGTACGTCAATCCGTTGGTGTCTTTAATAAATTAGCAAAAGAAAATTTCAGCTGTTGTCTCCTGCCATGATTTCAAAAGAACATAGTGAATGAGCAATAAAAAGGTACCTTACCTTCAAAGAAGGTGACGTCAAATCCATCACAGCTACAATTATATCTGCCTTTTTGCAGAGATCAATGACGACTTGGTCGCAATCATCACTCTCTTCTATACCAGGTGTATCTATGAGGATGATATTTTCGGGTAGATTGCAGAGGTTGCGAGGCCAATTCACTTGTATGACACTTTCAAAGGTGATGTTGAGCTCCTTCCTTTTTTCAATATAGTCATCGTCAGTAAAAAGACTTAAAAGTTTGTCTACCTCCTCTTGGTTCCCTTTGTTAAGGAGATCCTCTCCTCTGTTCATTTCAATTACACTCCATTCTTTAGCAGGCGTAGGGCGGACTTTAAAGGTGCACATCGTGGCTGTAAGAGTATCGACAGGAAGACGTTTGACTCGAAGCAAGGCGTTTATCAAGGAAGACTTGCCACCACTTGTGCGTCCCACAAAGGCAATGTTTACGTTTTTAGACATTGCCTTTTCAAGTTCTCCTTTCAATCCATCCACCATTTCCTTAAACTCAGCCTGCACTTGCTGAGTTGTCATCGATCCATTAGGAAGGTACTCGCTGTATCTCTCGCAGTAGTCTTCATAGATCTTTTCAACAGCTTTCACGGTTGCTCTCGTTAGCCTCTCAAAATAGTTTTCCAATTCGCTGTTAATTTTCTTAAACTCTTCCCAACTCTTTGCGCTCTTCGATACAGCTGGTCCCGAGATTGCCATGGATTGATTCCTTGGAAAAGTCAATAATAAATGTCATCCCATGCAACTGTTTTAATTAAGTCATAGGTGATGATATTGAGCCTTTATCGCTTTATCGCCCCTTGCCCGGTTTTCCCGTGGGCACACTCTGAAGTCAAAAATTACCTGTCGAATTAACGCACAACGGAATTGCTCTTTTTCACATCAAAATGCAGAAAAGGCTAAAATAATTACCAGAACTGCTCAAATGAGTACAGATTACAGTGCATGAATTTGTCATGTAGGAACCGGTGTAAATTTTCCAACTCAATCGGCTTTTGGTCGTCTCAATTTGCATCCTTGAATTAATTGGGGAAAGTCAGCTTAGGTTTTCAATCGTTTCTCCTTGTATGAAAATATTTTCACCTTGCCCTATGAGTAAAATGTCAAGATTTGCATGGGAATGAACATTTACACTCTCAGCCTTTAAAAACATCTGGAACCAGTTTTGATTAAGGACAAATTTTTTGTTCTTTTGCATCGTGTGAACTTCTTAGGCGGATTTAGGGAAATTTAGCTCGGTTACAGTTCATCTGTTTTGTCCTTTATAGATTTCTTTCAAAGAACATCAGCAAGTAACACCAATGAAACGAGTCCACTGGAAGCAAAATCCGCTCTGGCCGCCCCGATCACCCTGAAATTTCACATGCATCATGGGCGATGATGTTACGTTAATTAAGTGGGTGTTCCCTATTTCAGGATCATGCACAATAAAATGGAGTGAAAGGCCGCCAATGCCGGCCCAAAGGTTTGCATCAAGGCTTTTTCAATGAACACACAAACGAAGTCGATGATTCGATTCTAAATCGTCAAAGCCAGGATTGTAAGGGAGATGCCCTCGTCAGTCTTCAAGAAATAGAATCAAGAATTCAAATCTCGTGATTCAGCAAGATTGGCCCTCCCGGTCAGGCTGATCATTTTCATGCTCCTTTTTATGACTATGGAACACCGGTGTTTTAAGAACACTTGACCACTTCTTTTTACCTGGAGCAACATCTAAATAATTTTATTTATTTCAAGCACATTTTAAGAGGGCGGCACTTAATATCTACCAAAACCGATGTAAACAATCCAATGCCCCTCTATCCAAGTTTATGAGGCAAACACAAACGTAAATTCTGAACTATTAAGAAGACAGATTACTTAGAACCATAGAAGATACTGTTAGATCTCCTTAAAAAAAACGTGATATAATCAATCAGAAATATAGTTCCACAAATGTGAGAAATGATGACGAAAGACCTACTTCATAGCTAATGCTGATCGACTGCTGGATAAAGTGTGTAAAATAACTTTGTTATTCCTGCGGTTCTTTTATCTTTACATCTTGCAAATCACACTACCGAGAAATTAGTTGAAACACTGAAGACAGGCTAATTTTTATGGCCAAATTTGCAGCAAAGACAAACGATGAGAGGAACAGCAAATGTGGTGGTCGATTGCAGTTAGGAATGCTAGTTCATCTGAAGCGAAATCATTGTACAGTTCCTTGATTTTAAAGAACACATAAAGGTTGACAATTTTAGGAATTAATCACGTCCCTTTATCCACAAAACAAATATGCAGCCAAACATGGGCCTGATGCTTTCCCGTGAGGTGTTAATTAAGCAATGGAATGAAATATTATACATAAAAGGAGGGCCATTCGTGTTCTTTTTTGTGCTTTGGAGGAGCTTTCCAATACTAGTCACCTATACAATTTTCATGTAAAATTAGGGATTCTGGATTTTGGATTATTTGCGTTGAGTGAACAGCTTGACTTTAAGAATTCTGAAGAAGGTAAAAAGCGAATGTAATTTTCCAACACCATTTCCTAATCGCATCCACTCGCACAGGCATGCTCGTATGAGATCGGCAGGGTACATACTGCCGGAAGCTTGACTTCCACAAATACGAAGTTGTATTTGTACTTGGCAAAAAAAAAACAGCACTAAATTTAATGTTAGGATGATCATAAGCTCTTTCATACCAAATGACCTCTCGGTCAAATACTTGCTCAAAAAAAAAGCATTACTGCATTTTTAAAAGTCAATCACTCATTTTAGCTCAGAATATCCTGGTCATATGATATATCATAGATATATTAGGTAACACATGGGTACGAGGACGAAATACCTGTTTTTATCCGGCTCTCTTTTGTGGATTGGTTATGGAGACGTTTTCTATATAAGGAAAAGAGGAGACAAAAAGCTTAGCAAACCCAGAAATATCTATCGTTTACTTTTCAATATGCTAAAGTATACCTTGCTGGTTTCAATCTAACTGATTTTTCCGAGAAACGAGCTATTTCGATTCAGCACCCTAGGGAATTATTGCGTGCTGACAGCTACAATTAGTTTTGGCGAAGAGCCACTATTCGGGGTCAGCATTCTCTGCTAATATAATAACTTCTGTAGATCTCTCCTATTTCAGGCATATCAGATTATTTAACAATAAACACTCGCACCCGCTTTATTTGGGATGTTACATAATATTCTTCATGAAGAAAGCAATTGCTTTCAACCGATTAACTTTCCTTTCCAACAGGAAAACACCAAGAGTTAACTTTCTTTTTCGCAATTGAGGCTGTTGAGACGCGTCAGAAAAAAAACTAATTTAGAGTACAACTTACCCAGGTTTCAAGCTTAGTGTGGTGCGACTCTAAAGTTCACTCTTTTAGCACCAAGACGACACCAAACGCCTGAGCAACTGATCTCACCGAAAATGACTTCTGACAATGAGGTAAAAGGAGGCCGAAAATTATATGTTGTCGCGATGTAAAGATAACCCAACCAATTTTTTTTCTTTGAACGACGAATTCGAAAGACGAAACCGGTAAGGTGATTAGTAATAAGAATGTAGACTGTTGTGATTATCCATTTCAGTGATAGACAAAATGGCCGCAAGCACAGGGAAACTGAAGGTCACTGAAGGAAACTGAAGTACTACTAACCAATTAATGATAGGTTACTTTATGGATAGTTTTTTTGGTGGTAAAATATTCCAAAAAGCTGTGATTATCATAGTTTCTTATTTAGTGGCCTCTGCTGTACTTATTTTCAACCTCTTGAACAGTGAATTGGTAGATATTAAGTGCCGCCCTCTTAAAATGTGCTCGAAATAAATAAAATTATTTAGATATTGCTCCAACACTGTCTGACGTTTACTTTCTGTGTGACGAATGACCCGGTGGTAAGACAACTTGAATTCATCTCAGTCAAATTAAATTTCGCCCTTTCCCGATGTTATTCTGGAGGGGGGGAGGGGGAGGGGTGCGGCTGAACCCAGGCTAAGAATGCCAGAACTTCTCAAATGTGAACGACTCAGCGCTAATTAAAATTATCATGTATGAAGCAGGTGTAAGTGTTCTTAATCAATTGGATTTCGGTTTTCTCAATTTTTAAAAAGCAGGTACATTGTACCCTTGAATTGGTTGGGGACAAAAGCCAGCTTAGGTTTTCAACACTTTTCTACTAGTCCGTTATAGTTGAAACACAGTCAAAGTCACCTCGTTAATCTATTAAACCAAACACTAGGGGAGCAGGGTTGGCGTAGTGGTGAGAGCGCTTGCCTTCCACCAACGTGTTCCGAGTTCGATTCCCGGACCAAGCGTCATAAGTGGTTTGAGTTTGTTGGTTCTCTACTCTGCTCCGAGAGGTTTTTCTCCGGGTACTCCGGTTTTCCCTTCTCCTCAAAAACCATCATCATTTGAATTTATTTCATTTAGAGTTTATTTGCATTTACACACGACCCCCAAGCTGTTCAGCTTTAAACATTATGGTGTCTAAATAAAGGTATTATTATTGCTGCAAGTTCCATCAAAAAATATTGTATTGTTTACTTAGGAGACTGATCGAGTTACAAGTTCAATCTGCGTTAGAATAATACTCTTCACGTGACAATCTATTCATTCGTAGATCATACATGCCTCATCAGTGCATTAATACTTGGCCAGGACTTGAAAATTATCGAATTGTTTATGCATGGGATAATTTTTTCGAAACAAATATCTGTTTACCGTTGCTGGAAGGATTTATACTTTTCGACCATTTCTGTACTGCCGCGAACAATAATCTGGCTGAACCGACTTCCAGTTTTTCGACATTACGTATCACTTCCACACAGAGTGATCAGTGTTGCTTTGAACATTTTAAAGAAAAAGTTCACTGGTGTACTTCGGGCCCATAACTCGAATTTTCTATAAACTTAACCAGCACCCATTTATTGTACTTTTATGAACCAAAACTATCCTCAAACGAAAAAAACAAATAAAAAAAAGGAAGAAAAGATGCGTACGTTGTCACAATTTTTCTCCCCCTAAATTCAATACACAAAGAACTTGAAGTACGATAGCTTCATTTTCTATTATCAAACCAGACGTCTTCCTTAGGTGTTACTTGACAAATAGTTAAGATTTTAGGGGTTATTTGCTGAACACACAAATAAACTTAAGTCTGTGATTCGATTCTAAATCCCTTCTATGACTATGAAACACTGGTGTTTTAGGAACAAATGAACACTTCATCGTGCCAAAGGCAGTATTATGAGGTGAGTGATATTTTACCTTTCCAGACACTTAAAGAGGACAGCACTGAATATTTACTAAGACCAATACGAACAATTTAATGGACTTCTATCCTCAAAGTTTGTAAGGCAGATATATAAATGCAAATTCCGAAACTATTGAAAGAAAGATCACTTTTAACCACAAAATATACTGTTAATTCTCCTTAAAAGTGTGATGTAAATCTTTCAGAAATAAAGCTCGATAAATGTGAGGAATGATAATTTACTCCGGAACCCCCCTCATAGCCAGTGACGAAAATTGTACCATAATAAGATGCTGCTGTTATTCTTGAGGTTCTTTCAAAACGATATCTTCACATTTTGCATTTCGCATTACACACTACGGATAAGTCACTTGAATCACCGACGATAGGCTAGTTATCGCAACGTTCCGACTTTTGCAAGAAGGATAAATGATGACATGCGCGAACCTAAGCCGATGCCATCTAAGAGAGCTAACTCCTTTGAGGCAAGAAAATTGTGCAGTTCCTCGGTTTTAAATAACATCTTACGCTCCACATTTCTAGGAATTAATCAAGCATGCACAAAGCAATTTTTCAACAGAAAAGGGAATTCCCTGCACGTGAACTTTTGATTAAGGAACAGAGTGAAACAGAAGTTCCATTCATGTCCATGTCTATGCTTGGGAGGAACTCTCCAACACTGATCATTGACCCAATTTTCATGCAAAATAATTGAAATTTTGAATTCAATTAATTCAGTAAACAAGATGAAATACGAATTCTGAAGATGGCAAAAGGAGAGTGTTACTTTCGAATTCCCTCTCCCAATAGCATCCACTCAAACAGACGCAAATAGGCACGCTCGTATGGCATCGGCAGAGCATCTGCCGCCGGCGGTTTGACTTTGAGAAGTGCGAATGTGCAACTCTTTTATTCTTGTCTTAATAATTAGGCTAAAAGCTCATACACCAGCACTGAATTTTGACTTCAGATGATTTCAAGCTCTTTAGTAACGAAACGATCTGTCGGTCAATTTTTTGCTCAAAATGCAGGAAAACATCACTGTATTTTCAAAACTTGGTCCTATCATAGTTAATAGAGGGGACCTACTAACTATGGTCCTATCAATAACATATTGCGGCTATATCCACTTTACTAACTATGGTCATATAAATAACATATTGCGGCTCTCTTAATGTTAAACAACGCATGAGGAAGAGGAAGGAATACCTGATTTTATCCGGCTCTACTTTATGGAGTGGTAATGAAGGCTTTTCTGTATAAGGAAAGAGGAAACAAACGAAATGATCTCGCGGTCAATTTTTTGCTCAAAACAAAACTGTCACTGTATTTTCAACGCTTAGTCCTATAAATAACATCTGTAGCTCTCTTAATGTTAAACAACGCATAAACAAGAGGAAGAAATACCTAACTTTAGCCGGCTGTACTTTGTGGATTGTAAAAAAGGCTTTTCTGTATAAGGAAAGACGAAACAAACATCTCAGCAAACCCAGAAAATCTGATTGACCGGTTTTCAAGGTATCGTCATCACAAGCTTACATAGATGTTTCCTTGCCGGTTTCAAGCTAACAGATTTTTCCGAGAAACTAGCTACTCCAGGGTCTTAGGGAGCTTTTGTGTGCTAACAGAACTAGACGCATATCTGCGTGAACTCGGGCTTTCAATATTGCACATCTGCAGTTATCTTTAGGGAAATGCCAGATTGTCATTGTTACTGTCGTCACGCAGTTTCATCATTGCCGGTCGCGAATAAGCCAACTTGTGTTTATTTTTGTCTGTTGGAGTGTAATGAATGTTGTTATGGTACTAGACAACAATCAAAGTAGTATTTTACCATATAGGAGTAGGTTGCGGCAGATGCCGAAGGTTGAAATTCAAGGACTTTTCAATGACTTTGAAGGCCCAGTTTTAGAAAATTGAAGGACCACTTTTGAAAAGGTTTGTTTAGCAATTTTAAAAGGATTTAATATTATTTCTCAGCTTTTCCATGAAAGTACTGAAATTTTCAACTTGCAAATTGCCAAAGAAAAAGCATCGCTGAAATCAAGCCTTAAATGCAAGTACTTTCAAGGCCCCGCATTTTAATTTTTAGATTCACGCATTTCAAGGACTTTCAAGGCTTTTCGAACCCAGAGTAGGTAATGTATTTGTATTTAACACCACGGAGAAGGGAATTTTTTTATCTATTATTGGTACCAAGACATAGTTTGTTGCCCAATAATCACCCAAGAGGAGTTGTCAGAAATCAGTAGATTGAAGCAAGATTACTGTTCATTAGTTTATATTGTTCTTAATAGAAAAATGTCTGAATATTGAATACTGCTGATGGCCTCAACAAGAGAAGCAGTGCTATTTACAGTTTTAGTATATTCAATTAGAGGCAGGTTTAAAAATACATGTCACAAAAATCTGAAAACCACATCAAAACCCTGTGTGTTCAACTATTATTTCTTACAAGATTTTCGAGATATATTTTCTGTCAACTGAATCAGACAATATTCCTTCACTGTAAACACTTTTAAGATCTAAACTTACTTCAGTTCCACAAACATCAGTTTTTGGCAAATCAACTGACAGTCAATACTTGTTCAAAGATAAATTTTCATAATCTTTTACCATACTGAATAACATTAGACAAGGTGTTTGAATTCCAATAACTAGATGATTTTATTACACAGTAGCAGAGTGAATAAACAGCCACAGCACAATTCGCATCGAGCTTTCTGGTTTCACATGCATGACAATGAAAATGAGCACTATTTTGAACTTTATCAATTTTAACCCCTTTCAACTCAAATATATCACTGTTATGTATACTCTGTAAATGATGTAATAAGCTATTCAGTGATGATACTGCAAGCAGCACTCATGTCGCTTGAGAATGGCTTCTACCATAAATATCCCTTGCATGAGAATGGCATATTTTCAGGCCAACATAGATAGCAACTGCAGTACATCCTATTGTCAAGACAAAATTGTTGAAATTTTCAGATATAAGTGATTGTAAGGCTTTATCTAAGGAGGTACAGCACTGATATCCTTCTATTGTAACTTCTTGATGAATAGTGCCGGTGTAACTTTCACTTTGTTGAAGTTCATAGTCAGTCTGGAACACATATAAAAGTATGGGTAATTATGTCT